TTTTTTTTTTTTTTTTTTTTTAATTATTTATTGAAATTATTTTTTTAAGTGGCGCTATGGTGGTTTTGGTTTCTTTTAACGAGACACTCAGATTTGCAGAATGATGGAGGGGAATTCAGAAACTCAATACAATGAGAGACCCCACACATTCTCTCTCTCTATTCGGTGCTTTTGGACTTTACCACTTTTCAAGAGGAGGGACCATTTCATATTTTGTATGAACCCAAGTTGATAGAAATGTGCACTGCACCTTGCTCATGGGATTATAATAATTTCAAATTAAAAGTGTTACTATGGCTTATAGTGACACAGTCTCGCTATAGGCCATAGCGCCACTATATTTTGTTTTTGTTTTTCTTTTTTTTTTTTTTAAATTATTAAATAAATTGTTTTTTTTTATCACATTTTAATTTATTTACGAATATCATAAAAATATGTATTTATATATTTAGTTATTTCTGATTTTTCTTTATTTTTTACATATTTATTTTTTTATTTACGTTTTTTAATTTTTAAAATAAGTGGTGTTAGGCCATAGCACCACTATATTTTTGTTTTTTTTAATTATTAAATAAATTATTTTTTATCACATTTTAATTTATTTTTAAAACTATTTTTTTTATATTAAATATGTGGCGCTGTAGGCTATAACGACTTTAGTGAAGTTGTTTTGTGGCGCTATAGGTTGTAGCGACACTATCAATATGGCTTTCATGTCTTTCGTGGAGTTTAAAAAAAGCCACGTGTTACTGGTGTCGCTATGGGCCATAGCGACACCGTTATAAACAGCTCCAAAGGTGTATATTCTTTACAAACAGCCCCATTTACGTAAATAAGTTTACAAATTGCCCCACTTTGATAAAAAGCCTGTTTTTTTAGTAATAATAAATGTAATAAAAATAACACAAATTGCATTATGGTGTTTAGGAAGAAAGGGGAAGCAAATGCTTCTTCTTCTTCTTTTTTTTTTTATTTTAAAAAAAGATATATGCTTGTGATAAATTTTTCTTTTCTTTCCCTGTTAAAATTAGTGATAAATTTATATTGGTAAATTTTTATATGTTAGAAACTCTTTTGCTGTTGAACATTCAACATTTAATTTAAGAAAGGAAAGTTCCATACAGAGCAAAAACCAAGTAAACAGGGAACAAGTTCTCAAGCACAACAATTACAAATCACAATAAAACATTCACTTCACGATAGAAATCAGAAACGAGAAGAAAAGATGCAATACAAAATAGTAAAACAAAATAAAATAGAAAAAGGAAACCGGAATGTAATTGAACGAGTCGTTAGGTAAACATTTGGGGGTTGGCGAAAAACTAAATTGAAGAAAGATTTTTTTTAAAATTTTTTTATAATGATATAGCATCTGTACGAAATATCTACTATATCTGACGCATTGACTAACATCTATCATAGACTGTACGTGCTTATAAATTATTTTTTTACCATAATTTATTTTATTCTCAAACTCAATTTAAATTTTAGACAATTAAAATACAAATGGCTAATACTTATATTAACAAATGTCGATAATATTCAAGAAAAAATAACACGTCTTAATAAAAAAAAAATTCTCTTAAAAATATGCATAAGCAATTTTTTCTGCAAGAGAATTCTTAAAAATTATTCAATCTTGTATCCAACCATATTCTCTACATAACAGCAAATATTAAGTAGATTTGAACTCTTCTTACACTAATTTTTAACGCTTTTGCATAGAAGAACTTCACGAATCAAATTCTCCAAATTAAGAAACGAAGATCCATGAGGGCTAGAAGCAGCAGTTTTTGCCAATTCCTTCCATTGCAAGGCTTTATCCTTCATTTGTTTACCCTTTTCACCATCCATCAACTCCCTTACAAGGCTTTCTATTTTGTCCCTCTTAACATCTTCAATCTCCAAACCAATCCCCCACTCCTTGCAACAAAACCGACAATTGGTTTGTTGCTCTGCAAAGAAAGGCCAGCATATCATAGGAACACCTCCACATACACTTTCCAACGTTGAATTCCAACCACTGTGTGTCAAAAACCCTCCAATTGCGGGGTGAGCTAGAACTTGCTCTTGAGGACACCAATTAGACAACAAACCTCTGTTTTTGGTCTGTTCCACAAACTCTCGAGGTAGAACAACGTTTCCACCCCCCACAACATCGGGTCTTATAACCCACAAAAATGTTTTGTTGCTATTAGCAAGTCCCCATGCAAACTCAACCAATTGTTCACTTGTCATAACAGTTATGCTCCCAAAATTCACGTAAATAACACTATTTGGTTCTTTGGTGTCAAGCCACTCCACACACTCAAACTCCTCCTTCCAAAGATTGGACTCAATGGCATTCAAATCCTCATCATCAATATCCTTGACAAGTAAATTCAAAGGACCTATGGAATAAACAGGAGGCAAAATGGAGGACAAAGCCTCCAAAACGTCATGCTCAATGGCATCAAACGTGTTCAAAATTATTGCAGAAGCTTCCCGAGCCCTCCCACACTCCCACCGTAAAAACTCAAGCATAAAATCATCCGAATCGGTAGTCCTAATGAAACTTGGAATATCCCTCAATCGAATTTCCTTGATACCCGGTATCCAATCAATAGTGGTTTCCAAATACCCATTCGTGAGATAACTTGAGTCTACATGTTAATCACAAAAAAATAGCTGAACTAATTAAATTAAACTCATATAAACATTATTATTATATTTATTATCAGCAAGCATGGACTAGAATGACTAGACTTTTTGTTCTTAGAAACGAAGAGTGAATTAAAAGAAATGAATTACCTTTGAAGGGAATTAGGCCCTTTTGAAAGAGTTGTTGCAATTGGACGTAACACATGAAGCCAGATGCACTAGGGGTCCAAAACAGGACCTCAGGGACACCCAATTGTCGAGCAGCATCAAGAGTGAAGCTCATGACACCGTCAGCAACTATGCAAGTGACGGGGGGTGCGTGGGAGTTATTGATTTTAGTGAGGAGGTTTGTGAAGTGAGGCAAGCAGGTTCTTCTGGTGGAGTCGCAGAGGGAAGGTATATCCTGCGTGGCGTCCAGGAGAGGCTCGGGTAGACCATCGGGGATGGTTTCAAAGCGAAATGATGGGATGCCCTTGAGGGAATGAGGACCTCTTGATTTGAGAAGGCGTTTGTGGGTGTACTCGGTGTTGACCATGGTTATGTGGAAGCCTTTAGAGTGAAGGACTTTTGCTAGCTTTAGCATTGGGTTTATGTGACCTTGTGTTGGGTGGGGTACGCACACGGCATGTGCCTTCTTCCTTCTGCTTCTGCCCAAGGAATCCATCTTTACTCAACTGCTTCCTACAATCTCTAATTTTCTATGTAGGGGAAACTGGTGAATGCCTGTCTTTATTTTCAAATGGAAAAACATGCCTAAACAACTCATTTCATAGTGCCGTGCCGGCTAAGCTTTATTACAACTCATTTCATAGTTACTGATTAGATATTGAGAAAGGTCAAAGTCCCATAATGAGATATGGCAATAGCGTGCCACTTTTATTGACTAATAATGAGATATGACTTTTATTTTAATATCAACCTAAAAACTCCTTTATATCATAAAATACTGCACCTAAATATATTTTAATTTTTTTTAAAATGAACAAGTTCTAATTTTAGTTTTTATAAATTTTTACGTTTTATTCTTTTAAAATTTGAAAAAAATTTTTTATTCTTATAAAATATTTTATTCTTGTAAAATAAGTAAATATTAATTCTAGTCTCTGCTAAATTATTTTTCTTTAATTATCATCTATCTTTTGTTCCTATCAATAACTTTAAGGTATATAAAATATTTATTTAAAAATTTCTGAAATTTTTTTAGATATGTCACACTAATATAATATTATTAACGATTATGAATAACACTTGAGATCAAATTATTTAATAAACAAATAAGTAATTAACAATAATTATGTAATAGTGGAAACTAAAAATAATAATTATATATTTTGGAGGATAAAAATAAAAAAATTAATAGGAACCAAAATAAAAAAAATGTTCATCTTCCATAAACTAAAAAAATTATCTAAGTTAAAATACTATTATCTCAGAGAAATTATATTTATATGAGACAAACCATTAATATAATAAAGATAATAAAAAATATTGAAGTAAAAAATTATACTCGTATTATAATTCTATTACATTAGATCATGATGACCAACCATGACACAAAACGTGTGAATTATTTTATACCATTATATAATTATTCTATAGTTTAATTTGACAATCTCATTTCAAGTCTAAATCTTAAGCATACAAAATTTTAAATATTTAGAGGAAATTTTTTTTACGTCGTCTACATATAATTGTTTTATCTAATTAAATTATATGTAGGGGTTGATCCACGCTTAAGTAAGGTTAGAGATTCGAGTCCTGCTTTATGTATGCAGGCGTTAAATCTTGGGGCCAGCTATCTCACCCTTTGAGGTATTTGTGAATTCTAGCTTACCCTTCTGCTTCCATGTGGTGGAACTGCGATGATCATACTTGGTATGGAAGCAGGTCAGGACTAGCTTAGGTCAGGGCTAGCTTGGAGTTGAGGTGTCCGCTGCGAGACGGGGAGTTTTGATCCTCGTGTTGGAGTTATCATTTTGGGTAACGGTTTTGTCTGTACTTGACCGGCACTAGGGAATATTATTTTTGGGATGACTGTACATATATGGAGTTTTATTTTATAACCAAAAATTTAGATAATTTATTTTTATTTGTACATGTATGTATGAGTTATCCAGCTTAATATTTCTCTTAGTTCACTAGCAGTAGTGCGATTCCACTAAGTGTAGAGACCATGGCGAGTCATTACACTTTTATGGTATCAGAGCCGGTCGAGTCTTTTGGGATGCTCTGTGGGGAGTGATCTTTCTAGGTTTCTGTTGTGTCATATATTTGATATGTGTTAATGAGTTCTAGCGGTAAAGTGTTGGTAAAAGAATGTTTGAATTTTTTTAGTATGGTGAGGCCTCAGTTTGATCAGATCACTAGGGCTATGGAGGGCTATGGAGATGATGGCCATGGTGATGCGGTAGTAAAGTGCTCATTTTGCTTAGATGGAGGCGGGTAGAGCTGCGGTTGAGGCAGCTAGACCGGTGGTCTCTCAGGATGAGAGAGGTTTACCAGAGTTCAGGAGATGTTAGCCTCTTCAGTTTAAAGGGGGACTCAGATCCCGATGTGACAAATTTGTGGTTGTGTGAGATGAGAAGATCTTCAGTGTTTTGAGATTTTCTGAGGAGAGGAAGTTGGCCTATGCAGTATACATGCTGGCGGCGAGATTGTGTACTGGTGGAGAGACACCAGGTAGATGATAGAGAACAGAGGTGTGGTTATAGATTGGGATTGCTTCAAGAGAGTTTTATTGGAGAAGTATTTCTCGGACAGCGTTAGATATGCTAAGGAAGCTGAGTTCATGAAATTGCAACAAGGGAGCATGTCTGTTCCAGATTATGCTACGAGGTTTGAGCATCTGGCTTGTTTCTACTCTCAGGCCGTATCTGAGGCTTTGAGATGTAGGAAGTTACAGAGGGGTTGAGGCATGAGCTGAAGAAGGTCATAGTCCCTATGTCTATAGTGGAGTTTCCTGCCTTGGTTGAGAAGGTAAAGACTGTTGAGAGATTGGTGGGTGGTAGCAGCGGCAAGGCTGCTAGAGTTTACGAGTGATCATCTGGATCTAGGAGGGGAGGTCAGCAGAGAGGACCCTATGACAAGCCTGTTTAGTCTCAGAGAGAAGCTATTAGTAGGGGGCCTCGTCCTGCTAGTCGGTGCAGTGTTACAAATGTGGAGAAACCCACATGGTTAGAGATTGTCCCCATCCGGGGAATATTTGCTTCAGATGTGGTAGGCCAGGCCACATCTCTAGAGATTGTCAGACACCGCCGACTTTATCTGGGAGTGTCCCGGGGCCACCCAGGCCTACAGCTGTGGGGAGAGTGCTTGCATTGTCAAGTGTAGAGACTTCCACTTCATCAGATTTGGTGAAGAGGAAGGGGAAAGCAGCAGGTGTGGATGTTTTATTTTTGTTCGATTCTGGTGTCACGCATTCTTTCATTTCTATTGATTGTGTGGAGAGATTGGGTTGTCGGTGTCTGCATGGCACGTTGATTTATATGTATCTATTATGACTTCAATTTCTTTATTGTTTGGATCTTGCCATTCCTCCAGGCAGACTGTGCTTTGCCGATTTCTGTAACCGAGGAACGATGCGTATTTGATTTTTGGTGTTATCAACCAAATGATTCTCCCTTCCTTTAGAAGATGTGTCAACCCTCCTATTGACCACTATATCTCCATGTTTCCACT